AAAAGAGATGATCCTTACTCCCGTGTTATTAGCCATATCCGGTCATAGTCCGGTAATTACCTGCTAACGGAAACGCTGCGACACAATTCTTCTTCTTCTTCTTCTTCTTATTATTATTATTGAAACATGACCGGTAAGTTTCAAATTTGTCCGGTAAAATACATTTTGTCCGCGGAAACCCTGCTCCGGACAGCGCAAAATGCGTACATGAAGCGCTACGTCATGAACGCAATAAATCTACCCTCGTGGGGACGTGCTCATGTGATTGGCTTAGAATGAAGGAGACATCTGATTGGCTATAGATAGAAAAAATTACAAGTACGAATCGGGTGACCGTCAGGGGAGTCTCAAAAAACCCACCCACACGAATGCACAGCGATCCATGCACAGAAAGCGGGTTGTGTTTGCAGGTTCAGGGGATTTAAACGGAAAACAAATATGTGAGGATCAAAAATACATATGTAAAACTTTTTTCTGTATTTGGATTTTATTTACATGTATATGAAACGGAACACATTTGTGTGTGCATTGAAAAACACAAGTGTGGATCCGGAAATACAAGTGTGAATCCTTCTGTGTGCATGTGTGTATTATGAGACTGTTCTGAGCCCATAAAAAAGACATCTCACACCGTGTCAGATTTTGGTTATTTTGGGGAGGTGGAGCTAAATCATATTGTTTGGTGGATGCAGTTTGAACCAGAGTAGCAGCATGGAGGTCGGATCGTCACTAAAATAAATAAATAAGTGGCCCGAAAAAAGTTAATAACAAAAAAAATGCACATAACCTTCCTCAGGCAGTGTGTTTGTCCCGGGGACAGGAGACACCCCCTTGATGAGAAACTGTAAGAAATGATCGGGGAATCCCTCCGGAGTGGAGTCATGACGACTGGATCTGAATTATTTTGTTGTATTTGGTGGTTTGTGTTCCAGCTGTCGATCAGCAACTATATATCCATAATCCACCAGTTAAAGGAAATACAATGTGTTGTTATATTAGCTGTACAATTTACCACATATGGTGTTCTTAGTTTCCATACCTCCTGTGTTTTACGAGCGACTTATCAAGTCTTGGCAAACGGCATAAAACACGATTAAACGTGATAGTATATAAAACCATGCTCGTATCTACAACCTATAGAAATGCAAAACGGCGTCAGTTTAGACGTTATTCTGTCCTCCTGCTTACCGCATCATTTATGAGAAAACATTTCATAACATTAACACAACATATTCGAGGTGGTTTTAAATAACATATCCGTATTTATTTATTTCTCCAAGTTATGTTTTTGTGTGCACTGAGGAGTCTCAAACAGGCGTTTGTTTAATCATTTTAAGATTGGCTTTAATCAATGTTTGAAAATGAATTCTTCATATTGATAAATGAGAGGTAACATTTTATTTATGGTATTATTTCCACATATTTCTCTCCATTCTTCCTTCTGCCAACGGTGTCGCAGTTTCTCGTCTCTCCCGTTTGTGTGCTTAGTGCGTACGCATGGGTTAGAGTTTGAGTGGAGGACCGCACATTTTCCCGTCAAGTTAGTATTTTATAAATCGCAAACATTGCGTAGAAACTGGCGTACGCAATTTTTTGAGCGTATATCCCTTTATAAATGAGACCCCAGGAGAGGATTCAGTTTTTATGTTATCTGATCATCTAACCTGTTCTTTAATGATCGCAGTAAAGAAACTTAGTAACAGTACAGTAAGTAAGGGCCATACCTATATAAGGCAATATTGATAAATACTCACTAAAAACTAAATATATCGTCCAATACATTATTTACTACTTGGGCATGTTTATGATATGTATTTTAAAGATGTTTATTAATAATAGTGATAACCTGGTGAGCTGGTTGTGTTTAGCATTAGCAGATATAACAGAGCTTTGTGTGATTACATGTAGAGTCAATGCAAAGACCCAGATCCGTGCCTGGAGACACCAAGAAAGTGAAGAGGTGAAATTTATGTCACCTGCGTATTCGTGCAGCGTGACACATTTCATCTTGAGAGTCACGTTTGTGACGCTCTGCCCATTGGTGAGAATCAGCTCCACTAATGTGACGTGCTGTAAAGGATGTGTTCATCTCCACAGAGGGAAGAGGAAGAGTGGTGTTCCTGTGGAGGAGCAGCTGTCCAGCTGTGCTCTGTGTCAGGACGTCCTGAAGGATCCAGTCTACCAGCTGTGGACACTGGTTCTGCAGACAGTGCATCACCTCATACTGGGAGCAAAGACCTCCATCAGGAGACCCCTCCTGTCCCCAGTGTGGGAAAAGATCCAGAACCAGAGCTGGACTGCAGACAGCCAGTCAGACCAGCTCTGTACGAGGTAAGAGGCCGAACACATGCAGCGTCTTATTCCTCTTCCTGGTTCATTTGTTTTTGAACAGGTATACTGTTGTAGAGCATAGACAGTAAGCTGTTTATAAAACATTTAAACTCAGTCTGGTTTTTGTTGTTTTATGTTATAATTAGATTCTCAGTGCATTTCCCTCATTCTCTCACGTTTCCTTCTCTTCCAGCAGATAGTGGTCTGCAGGAGGTTTTAGATAAACATAGGCTCAGTCTGAGGAGGAGATGTGAACGTGTGACTGAAGAAACTGATCAAAGTGAAACCCTCCTCAACAGGATCTTCACTGAGCTCTACATCACACAAGGCCAGAGTGAAGAGGTTAATACCCAACATGAGGTGAGGCAGCTGGAGACAGCTTCCAAGAAGAAGCCCCTCCATGACACTCCAATCAAGTGCCAGGACATCTTTAAAGCCTTACCTGACCAACAGACTCTCATCAGAGCGGTCCTGACCAACGGAGTCGCTGGAGTTGGAAAAACCTTCTCAGTGCAGAAGTTCACTCTGGACTGGGCCGAGGGTTTGGGAAACCAAGATGTCAGTCTGGTGATCCCGCTCTCCTTCAGGGAGCTGAACCTGATCAAAGGTGAGCAGTACAGTCTTCTCAGGCTGCTCCATGTTTTCCATCCAACCTTACAGAAGGTCACAGCAGAGCAGCTGGCTGTCTGCAAAGTGCTGCTCATCTTTGACGGCCTGGATGAAAGCAGACTTTCTCTGGACTTCAGAAACAATGAGGTTGTGTCTGATGTCTCTCAGCAGTCCTCAGTCAACGTGCTGCTGACAAACCTCATCAGGAGGAAGCTGCTTCCCTCGGCTCTCGTCTGGATAACTTCCAGACCTGCAGCGGCCAATCAGATCCCTCCTGAGTGTGTGGACAGGGTAACAGAAGTACGAGGCTTCACTGACGCCCAGAAGGAGGAGTACTTCAGGAGGAGATGGAGTGATGAAGACCTGTCCAGCAGAATCATCTCTCACATCAAGAGCTCCAGGAGCCTCCACATCATGTGTCTGATCCCAGTCTTCTGCTGGATCACTGCTTGCAGTTCTGGACCACATGTTGACTACAGACCAGAGAGGAGAGCTGCCCCAGACCCTCACTGACATGTACTCACACTTCCTGCTGGTCCAGACCAAGAGGAAGAAGCAGAAGTATGAAGAGGGACATGAGACGAGTCCACAGCAGCTGACGGAGGCTGACAGGGAGCTTCTTCTGAAGCTGGGGAGGCTGGCGTTTGAACATCTGGAGAAAGGAGACATCATGTTCTACCAAGAAGACCTGCAGCGCTGTGGTCTTGACGTCACCGAGGCCTTGGTGCACTCAGGAGTTTTCACACAGATCTTCAAAAGAGAGAGAGTGATCTTCAAGAAAACAGTCTACTGCTTTGTTCATCTGAGCATTCAGGAGTTTCTGGCTGCAGTCTACATGTTGCACTGTTACACCAACAGGAACACAGAGGTACTGAAGCACTTCCTGCAGAGAGACTTTAACAACATCAGTGATCAGGATTACCCATCCCTGGATGACTTCCTGAAGAGAGCCATGGAGAAATCCCTCAGAAGTAAAAATGGCCACCTGGACCTGTTTGTCCGCTTTCTCCACGGCCTCTCTCTGGAGTCCAACCAGAGACTGTTAGGAGGCCTGCTGGGTCGCACAGACAACAGACCAGAAACCATCCAGAGAGCCATCAGCAACCTGAAGGAGATGAGCAGTTCTAAAATCTCTCCTGACAGGAGCATCAACATCTTCCACTGTCTGACAGAGATGAAGGACCACTCAGTACATCAGGAGATCACAGAGTTCCTGAAGTCAGAGAACAGATCAGAGAAGAAACTCTCTGTGATCCACTGCTCTGCTCTGGCCTACATGCTGCAGATGTCAGAGGAGGTTCTGGATGAGTTGGACCTGAAGAAGTACAACACATCAGATGAGGGACGACGGAGACTGATTCCAGCTGTGAGGAACTGCAGGAAGTTCAAGTAAGTCCAGATGTGATTAACTTTATAAACTAATGTGGATCAGGAGTTTAATTATTCAAATAAACACTATAACATTTCTGCTGTTTAAATACTGAGAGCAAAATAAACCCAACACTGTTCTTCTATTTATTTATAATAATAGTTAAACTGAAGCGTTTCTCTCTTCATATTGAGTGATGGAGGCGACATGTCAAACACATGAAGGACTTTAGAGGTTTCTCAGCATGTGATCACACCACACAGCAGGACTTACAGTTATCACAGAAACATGTTATTATTACTTTCTAGTAGTTTCTTTATCATTAAACACGTTTTTATCACAATGTGTTAGATCTATATCATTTCCCACCAATAACAGAGTTATGTCTTAATGCTGATATACTGGGAACATCTGATGGTATCAAGTTGAACATATTGAAACTTTATTGATTTGTTAATTGTGTTTGTGTGCGCAATAAATGTTCAGATGCTCAGAGAAGCCAAAACATCCTTCATCCATCATTCACATCCACATATTAACTAACATTTAAATATGTACATCTCTAATATTGTCAAGTGATTCATTTAATTTCTGTTTCTTTTGGTAACAGTCAGTGACAGCAGGAGCACAGACATGTGATCAGATCACACTGACAACTCATTACACTCTATTATCATATATTATTATATATTGTATTAAATGGACTAACAGCAAAGGTCTATGTACATGTCAAATCTTTTTTCATCAAATGCTTGATGTTAATATAATGTTTCCTCTTTTTTAACACATCAAATCAAAATCAAATCAAATCAGGTTTTATTTATATAGCACATTTAAAAGCGATTTTTGGTCGAGCCAAAGTGCTGTACATGTAATAAAAACACATTACTACAATCACAATAAAAGACAATAAATTACAACAGATATATATAAAAAACAAAATAAAAATAAAAACACAAGGAAAAGTCAGGAGTCGTGCTCCGCTCTAACTAGAAAGCCAGAGAGAAGAAGTGTGTTTTTAGTTTTGATTTAAAAACCCCTAGGGTCTGGGCCGACCTCACATGGAGGGGCAGAGTGTTCCAGAGCCTAGGGCCAGCTGCTGCGAAGGCTCGGTGCCCTCGGGTTTTAAGCCTGGTCTTGGGCACTACCAGCAGCAGCTGGTCAGAAGACCTTAAAGCTCTGGCTGGGGTGTAGCGCTGGAGCAGTTCAGTTATATAGGCCGGAGCCAGCCCATTTAGTGCTTTAAAAACAAATAAAAGGATTTTAAAATCAATTCTGAACCGAACTGGAAGCCAGTGCAGTGAGGCCAGAATAGGGGTGATGTGGTCACGCTTTTTGTGGCCAGTCAGCAAACGTGCAGCAGCGTTTTGGACTAGCTGTAGGCGTTTAATTGAGGCCTGGTCCATACCCACATACAGAGCGTTGCAATAGTCCAGTCTCGAGGTTACAAAGGCGTTAATAACCCTTTCTAAGTCATTAAAAGATAAATACGACTTGGTTTTGGCCAATAGTCTTATTTAAAAAAAGCAGGATTTGACTACGGTGCTGACCTGCTTGTCGAATTTAAAAGTGCTAGTGAAGGTCACTCCAAGGTTCATGACCGAGGGGAGGATGTTTTTTTTGAGAGAGCCCAGAATATCAACCGGAGAGGCTGGAGGTTGCGGTCCAAAAAAGATGACCTCAGTCTTGCTCTCGTTGAGGTTGAGAACGTTTTTGCTCAGCCAGGATTTTATCTCTGCTAAGCAGTCCATCAACTGCTGTAGTGAGTGTTTGACATTTGCTTTGAGAGGCAGATAGATCTGTACATCGTCGGCGTAGCAGTGGAAGGGAATATTATGTTTTGTGAGAATTGAACCTAGGGGCAGTATGTACAGTAGAAAAAGGATGGGGCCCAGAATTGAGCCTTGGGGAACCCCACAGGTAAGAGGGGCTTTGGCAGAGGAGAAGGCACCTAGCTGCACTGAGAAGCTACGGTCTGTCAGGTAGGACCTGAACCATGCAAGGGCAGAGCCTGTGATGCCAGCGGACTGTTCAAGCCGTGACAGCAGGATGCTATGGTCCACAGTGTCAAAGGCAGCTGTCAGGTCTAACAGCACCAAGACAGCTGGGCTACCTGAGTCGGCGGCTAGGAGCAGGTCATTAAAAACTCTTAAAAGGGCTGTTTCAGTGCTGTGCATGGGTTTGAAGCCAGACTGAAACTTTTCATGGATTCCATGGATGGTTAAAAAAGACTGCAGCTGGGCGTAGACTACTCGCTCCAGGGCTTTTGATAAAAAAGGTAGCTGGGAGATGGGCCTAAAATTTCCGATAATGCAGGGGTCGAGATTTTTCTTTTTAAGTAGTGGCTTAACCACGGCATGTTTGAAGGCAGCTGGGACACATCCTGAGCTAAGAGAGGTGTTTAAAAGTAATAAAATACTTGCTCCAACTGAATCAAAAACATCTCTGAGAAGGCGAGAGGGAATGCTGTCTGAGGTGCAGTTTGTCGGCCGCAGGTGCTTGACTACATCCGAGAGAGAAGAGAGGGATACAGGCTCAAAGTGGTCGAGGACAGCAGGGCACAGAAAAGGAGCAGGATCTGGAGTAGCACTAGTGTGGGCTAGCCTAAGAGCAGATACTTTTTCAATACAAAATGTAAGAAACTTATCACAGAGAGTAGTCGATGGGACAATAGAAGAAACATCACAGGGATTAATGATAGAGTTGAGGACATTAAAAAGAACCTGAGGTTTATGGCTGTTTTTGGAGATTAACAGAGAAATGTGCTCTGTTTTGGCTGCTTTGACTGCCGTCTGGTAGTCAGAAAGGCAAGCACGAAGGATTTCTAGGGAGACATGGAGTTTATCCTTTTTCCATTTTCTCTCTGCACGCCTGCAAGCGCGTCTGAGAGCACGAGTACAGTCATTGAGCCACGGCTCTGATAGAACTTTGATGCGTCTAAGCGTAAAAGGAGCAACAGAATCCGGTATTAGTGTGCATGTCGAGTCAAACATGGAGATAAGCTCATCAGCATTAAAAGCACAGTTCACATCTAATTTACAGATCGGAGAAGCATTAAAAACATCAGAGAACTGTGAGGCAGTCAAGGGGTTAATCGAACGCAGACGACGCGCAGGGGCACGTGATTCGACTCCTGCGGAAGGGATGGAGGTTGTAAACAGAACCGGTAAATGGTCTGAGATACGCGTTGCTGCACATATTTCATCCACAGATACAGACAGTCCAAACGATAATACTAAGTCCAAAGTGTGTCCTTTTTCGTGTGTTGGGCCAGCCACGGACTGAACGAGACCAAAAGAATCAAGGAGATTTAAAAAGTCCCTAACCAGAGGTTTGGACTCGCAACACACATGGACATTGAAGTCTCCGGAGATCAAAACACGATCATATTTCACCATGATCCCGGACAGAAAGTCAGAAAAGTCATTTATGAAATCCTTATTGCACTTTGGCGGACGATACACGACTGCGCAGAGTATAGGCGAGGCCGGGTTCAGTTCAAAAAGCTGCAACTCAAAGCTAGCATAGCTAGTTACAGGGTGAAGCAATCGGCATTGGAGGCTAGCTCTAAACACTGATGCTATGCCCCCACCATGGCCAGTGGCACGGGGGGAGCTGAAGAATGTACAGTCAGGAGGAAGAAGTTCAGAGAACGGTGTATACTCGCCAGCGTGGACCCAGGTCTCCGTCAGGAACATAAAATCCAGTTCACGAGAGGTGAAGAAGTCGTTTAGCAGGAACGTTTTGTTTGCTATCGACCTAGCATTTAGCAAAGCCATGCAAAGTTTTCGCTCCGGGCTTGCCGAAGGTGTAGTGCGTCTCAGCTGACGAAGATGTGCGTGTTGAACGCCGCGCGGGCCGGGAGCAGTCAGTCGGGCAGGAGGAGCTGCCTGCGGGCATCCACCGATCCCTCACATGGCGTGCAGCGGGAGGGCCATGACATCCGAGGCGTGGATAATTCACAGAAGAAGCCGTCAGGTATGCCTTAAGATGGACCAGTGCACCACCACGCTTTCCCCGTCGTCGAAAACGCTTTCGGCGAGGCAGGATGCAGGGCAACCGGCGCAGGTAGGTGGGAATATTCGACAGTAGAGGGGGGGGGGGGCGATTTATGGTTGCCAGATGTAGGTTTGGGCAGCAATATCAACTCCAGTGAGGGTCTGAGGTGGAGGAGTGCTTGGCGATCATAAACGAGCAGAGCAGAGACATTCTGACAAACATAAAACAAAAACAGGATAGCTAAAGGTAGAGAGCTGAGCGAGCGGCGAGCCGACACAGGCGCCATCTTGAATCACGTCACGTCACGTACACGTTCTATGGGACAACTACATTGTTCTCCCTGACTCTCCAACACATGTTGTAATATATGTTTTATTATAGACTTACTGGCTTAGGACACTATGAGGCTTTCTGTGAAGTCGTGGCCTCAGCTCTGAAGTCTGACCCCTCTCATCTGAGAGATCTGGACCTGAGTGAAAACCCTCTGAAGGATTCAGATGTGAAGCTGCTGAGTTCTGGACTAAAGAGTCCAAACTGCAGACTGGAGGCTCTCAGGTCAGTTCACTGACTGCAGTTCATATTGATCTGTTTGTGTTTATGATTTTCTGAATTTGAACAAATACAATGTTATTTTTATTTTTTCCATGTTTGCTAATGACTGAATATTGATCAGAATAACAAAGAGAAGGTGAATGTGTGAGGGAGAGTGTTTGAGCTTCCACATACTCACTCTGTGCTCCATGAGTCAGTGGAGATGCTGTCAGTACTGATGAGCTGTGAGGGAGATGAAGGAGTTGTTAAACATCTGATCAAAGTTAAAGTTCCAGATTATCAGTGGATTGTTTCTGCATCATCTCTGACATTAAAACCCTGTTTAACTCTGAACAGATTATTAAACCTGGAGTTATTTCAAAAGGAACATTGTTTTCTAAAGTTACATCATGGTTTCTTTATTCAGACTGTGGGACTGCAGTTTGTCAGAGATCAGCTGTTCTGCTCTGATCTCAGCTCTGAAGTCCAACATCCATCTGAGAGATCTGGACCTGAGTGACAACGATCTGAAGGATTCAGGAGTGGAGCTGCTGAGAGATCTTCTGGAGAGCCCAGACTGCAGACTGGAGACTCTCAGGTCAGTTCACTGACTCTCTGTTACTGCTGGAGATCTCACATGTTCACTTTGTAATTGAACCTCATTTATATTCATTAATAACTTACAGCCAAAAAGTTGTAAATGTCCTTTTATTCATATTTCATTTTTAAGAGTAAGAAGAAAGAACTGCAGACATACATGTTGAGTGTTTCTTAAAGTAACTGTAATAGATGTTAGTTGTAAAGAGTAAATCTATGTATTTAATATTTAGTAAACGTTAACGTCTGAATAAAGGTCATCTGAAGTCATTTTAGTTTTATATTGTGATGGGAATTTATTGATCAAATGTGGAGAGAGAATCAAAGCATTCAGCTGTCTTTGTCGTATTTTATTTCTTGAAGAAAGTTCAGTCAGTCACACAGAGAGCATACAGTCTGCAGAGAGGAAGAGGAAGAGTAGAGTTTGGGTTGCATATTCAAACACAGAAGCCTCGTCTCAATACCCCTCCTCGACTCCTCTCTTCCCCTCCTCCGGGACTTGACCCGGAAATCGATCAAGACACGCCATTTTGAAGGACGTTTTTTTTAGGGGTGAGGGAAGAGGGGTGCGGGAGGAGACCAAAGGGAGGATACACGAGAGCAGACTACGCGGAAGTGTTTTCACTACTCGCGTATAAAAGCACCGCCCCCAGCTTCACAGCTGGTCGATTTCAAGAGAGGAAAACAGAGAACTGGAAGAATGAGTGGGAAAGCGTCACATAAATGTCTAAGTGCTCACAGCTCCGTGGGAATTATTATGTGCAATTCATTTCTTAAGGTTATACTAACAATTTAAGTCATGTTTAATGATCTTGAACGTCACTAAAACATAGCTATTAAGAAAGCTATTTCATAAATGGCTAGATCTTGATAAATAACAATTATTTGTTTTGTTTTGTGTTAAAATATTGAGTAGTTAAATTATTTAAAATTCACAGTCCTGAATGTGGGGATCTACAGGACACACATGTTCAGAGTAAAGGCTTTCACATTACTATAATTATAATTTTATTTAAATGTACATTTGACAGCAAAACGTAACACAAAAGCAGGACCAACCATCATACATTGAATTCCTTGACTAACATGAGAAAGATTCATAATTTAAATACATATTTAACAACAAATGGGCCGGTTCTAAAGGTTATTCAGTTAAGCCCGATGAGAGGGGATACAGCTGTGCACATGTCATCATTAACAGACGTCGTTTAAGAGTGACGTTTGAGTGAACGAGGACATCCCAATTAATACCTGAGGACTCCTCTGTCCTCGCGTCTCCTCCTCGTGTCTCTCGCTCGCATCTTACGGAGGCGGAGCTAAGATGCAGGGAAGGGACGCGAGTGAGGGAAAGGAGGAGTTGAGGAGGGGTATTGAGATGAGGCTCGAGAGAGAGGAGAAAGGGAGGGGTGAAGCTTGGTGATGATGAAGGAGCATTCTGGGAGTTAGGGAGTTAGGGAGGCCGTATCAGGAAGTTCTCAGTTCCCCTGAGGTGAAGGTCATACTGTTGGTGCACATAGAGAGTCACTAACAACACTGCAACACATCTTCTTAATAAGGACTTTCCCCAAGCTTAGCTAAGAAGAGTGAGAAGTAGTAAATATAGATAAACATTAACAAATAAGAATCACACAATGATATTATTAAAGTAAGTAAGTGAGTATAATTGTTGTTGTTGTTGTTGAGTAACATCTGATTGGATTATAAACAGATTTGTATCCTCATCATGTTTTCTTTATTCAGACTGAAGGACTGCAGCTTGTCAGAGATCAGCTGTTCTGCTCTGATCTCAGCTCTGAAGTCTAACATCCATCTGAGAGATCTGGACCTGAGTCTCAACGATCTGCAGGATTCAGAGGTGGAGCTGCTGAGAGATCTTCTGGAGAGCCCAGACTGCAGACTGGAGACTCTCAGGTCAGTTCACTGACTCTCTGTTACTGCTGGAGATCTCACATGTTCACTTTGTAATTTAACCTAATTTATATTCATTAATAACTTACAGCCAAAAAGTTGTAAATGTCCTTTTATTCATATTTCATTTTTAAGAGTAAGAAGAAAGAACTGTAGACATACATGTTGACTGTTTCTTAACCTCTTAAGCACGGCGGTACCCCCATTGGACCCCTCCCACCGTTTTGTTTTCGAGATAATGTCTCAGGGCTTCTTAACATTTATGAAACTATTAATGTGTAGCACCAGATTAACGGGAAGAATCTCAGCTAACTGAAGATATGAACCATTTTTACCAAAACAAAACACAAGTCTCATAAGAAGGGTCTAAATGACCCCTGAGCGAAAAAATTCTAACGCACTGCGGCACACAATTCAAGATAAAGATACCCTTATTACTTATCGTAGCTGCACATACAATATAGCCGATTAAAGCTAAGACTCCACTGATTATTTAGGTATAGTATCATCACTGAGCGATCCGAACTTGCGACAGGGGAAGCAAACACAGACATCACAACACGTACCTTTACGGAGCTTTTACGGCAGATCGTCTCACCGTAGCTGTCAATTAGGTCAAAAGACGTGTTCAATGGCATTAAAAACGAAGAAAAAAAATCTACAACTGTTGATCCATAGGTTGATAATGTACCTGTGCCTTTGAAAAAATAATTTATAATCCATAATTCCATTTTTTATGTAAAAATCGGAGCGGAAAAGTTAGCTGCTAATGGTAGCCACCAGAGTGTATGCAGCTTCCGGTTTTGGTAACGCGTCACTCTCACTCCTTATTTGTTAACGTTTTGGTGTGTATATAACTTTCCCTCGATTCCATTGGCTCTAGCGGTTATAAAGAGATTTCATTCATCAAAATCGAGCAAGGGGGGCCAGAGATAGGTCAAATCCACCCAAATGACCCCAGAAGTGGGTTTTTTTGGCTAAATCTCTCTAAAAAGGTCAAATTTAACTTGTTTTGCATCAATCTTGATACAGGGTACTTATTATATGTTGTACTTTGGATTCCTAAAGCTTTTAGTCTACTAACCCATCATCCAAGGGTAGTTTTCACTATAAGTAAAAAAGAATTTTTGGACGGACACTATAATTTACAGTTTTTTACTATGTCAAATCTAAATTTTCTTTAAAATAAAAAACATCTATATTGATTCTGACTTTTCTACATCCAACTCAAAGGTTTATCATTACTTTGAGAATAAAGATTATTAATTTAACCCTTTTAGAAGGGAAGATATGGTCATTTGTTCTGGGAATGTCATTTTCGAGCCTGAGACCTGAAAAACAGGCTCAGGGCTTAAGAGGTTAAAGTAACTGAAATAGATGTTAGTTGTAAAAAGTAAATCTATGTATTTCATATTTAGTAACTGTTAACGTCTGAATAGAGGTCATCTGAAGTCATTTTAGTTTGACATTGTGATGGGAATTTATTCATCAAATGTGCAGTGGCGACTGGTCATTAGGGGCAGGTGGGGCACAGCCCCACCTAGTGTCAGCAGAAAGTATTACACATAATGATTACAAAAAATGCAAAGAGATGCAAAAAAAGAAATTAAAAAATATATAAAATATATTTTAAGGTCATGTTTAATCATCTGATTCGTCTGTACATTGCTGTTTTAGTCTGTGTTCTTCTAATTAGTGTCTACAGTGCCGTTTTGAGCCATGTGGGACAAAACCTGATCATGCCCCACCCTTTCACTGTCAAAGTGAACGGTGACTGTAAAAACTACACTGCGCATGCTCAGAGTATTTTTCAATGTAATGTGTGTGGCAAAAAAAAAAAGACCATAGGGGCACAGAGCTGCCATCCCCACCATACGTCATCTCACATCATTCAGAGCTGATTGGCTGTAAGTACGTGTGCCGCGAAAAGTGTGGTGTGTGAAGAGGAGACGAGAGAGCTGCAGTGACGCGTCCTAAAACCAGGAAGTAAGCTGCAAAAAAGCAATGAGGTTTCTCCATAGGATTTTAGAAAATAGCTCGAAATAAGATCTGTGGGAAACGTACCTGTTAGATAAATGCACGTTTTGTTCAGCCGGATAATATCCACATGTCTACCCTACTTTTCTAATTTTCTAATCATAAATCTATCGATTAGATTTATGATAGACTTTTGAAACTACAAGAAGATAAGAAGGACTTTTACAAAAAAGTTATAGAATTTTTTGTCCAGAAGGATAGGCAAATGGACTTCATCTTCAAGTCAAGGTAAGACCGCAATTTTTTGAAAATGGGATCTTACTAAGAGAGAACAATTCAATATTTAAATGATAAAATTACATTTTTTGGGTATCCTTTTGTTGAACTGTCTGTTTAAAATTAATCGAAGCATCAGACAAAAAAAGCTTTTGAAAATAATATTTTATTTTGGTTTAGGTCAAAATATAATATTTGTAAACCTGAAGAGTCAGTGCCAGTGCCTCACCAGCCATGAACCTCACTGCACGTCACTGCAGAAGCTTATATATAGACATCTAAGTTTTTTGTGCCCCACCACTTTTGTACATATAAAAACGCCACTGCAAATGTGGAGAGAGAATCAAAGCATTCAGCTCTTTGTGGTATTTTATTTATTGAAGAAAGTTCAGTCAGTCACACAGAGAGCATACAGTCTGCAGAGAGGAAGAGGAAGAGTAGAGTTTGGGTTGCATATTTAAACACAGAAGCCTCGTCTCAATACCCCTCCTCGACTCCTCTCTTACCCTCCTCCGGGACTTGACCCGGAAATCGATCAAGACACGCCATTTTGAAGGACGTTTTTTTGAGGGGTGAGGGAGGAGGGGTGCGGGAGGAGACGAAAGGGAGGATACACGAGAGCAGACTACGCGGAAGTGTTTTCACTACTCGCGTATAAAAGCCCCACCCCCACCTTCACAGCTGGTCGACTTCAAGAGAGGAAAACGGAGAACTGGAAGAATGAGTGGGAAAGCGTCACATCAATGTATAAGTGCTCACAGCTCTGTGGGAATTATTATGTGCAATTAATTTCTTAAGGTTATACTAACAATTTAAGTCATGTTTAATGATCTCGTTTAAGAGTGACGTTTGAGTGAACGAGGACATCCCAAGTGAGGGAAAGGAGGAGTCGAGGAGGGGTATTGAGATGAGGCTCGAGAGAGGAGAAAGGGAGGGGTGAAGCTTGGTGATGATGAAGGAGCATTCTGGGAGTTAGGGAGTTAGGGAGACCGTATCAGGAAGTTCTCAGTTCACCTGAGGTGAAGGTCATACTGTTGGTGCACATAGAGAGTCACTAACAACACTGCAACACATCTTCTTAATAAGGACTTTCCCCAAGCTTAGCTAAGAAGTGTGAGAAGTAGTAAATATAGATAAACATTAGCAAATAAGAATCACGCAATGATATTATTAAAGTAAGTAAGTGAGTATAATTGTTGTTGTTGTTGAGTAACATCTGATTGGATTATAAACAGATTTTTATCCTCATCATGTTTTCTTTATTCAGACTGGAGTACTGCAGGTTGTCAGAGATCAGCTGTTCTGCTCTGGCCTCAGCTCTGAAGTCCAACATCCATCTGAGAGATCTGGACCTGAGTCACAACGATCTGCAGGATTCAGGAGTGGAGCTGCTGAGAGATCGTCTGGAGAGTCCAGACTGCAGACTGGAGACCCTCAGGTCAGTAAGGGGTCTCTGCTGGTTCAGCAGTATTGTATGAAACACAGGGAGGTGTTTCTCTCACTGGGGAATCACAACAGATCAGTGATGTTACCCACTGACTGCAGGCTCTTTCATTCTTCCATCAACTATAGAAGGCCAGCTGAAAATGCAAAGCCACATTTAGTAAGTAATCAACTTTCCACCAGACATATGGGATTTGACAGAAGAGTGGAAAAGGTAGTCTGTTTTTGATGGGATGTTTTTAGTTCCTTGACTAATGACTGTTACTTCCTGTAATGCAGCTGAGAGCTGTGGCAGTCAGTCGTAGTGTTTGCAGAGAAGATATGATGGGATGTAAAGCATGAGATCAGTCAGGACTCTGAAGCTGACTAACTCAAAGAACAAACACTTATTTTAAACTGGATCCATAACTGTTGGATTGTGTTCATCCCTACAGGATCAGAGAGGATGAGACGATCAGAGCCAAGATCCAGAAGAACTGTGAGTACTGAATATCCTCCATTCATCAAGATATGAAACTCTTTCATGGAGCATGTCCTCAGAGGAAAACAACACTCTTGTTTTTCTCTCTTCGTCATTTTGTCTGTTTCTCTTCACAAGAACTGTCTATCAAAACAGTGACGCGTTCACTGACACTCTGTAAAATGTAAATAAACTCTGAAGAATAAAACACTTGAAAACATCAACATTATAACTAGTCCGTTACAGGATTACCATCAAAATATACTTGAGTAAAAGTAGAAGTACTCAGATCTTGTACTTGAGTAAAAGTAGAAGTACTCAGATCTTGTACTTGAGTAAAAGTAGAAGTACCAGAGTGTAGGAATACTCTGTTACGGTAAAAGTCCTGCATTCAAAATGTTCCTCAAGTAAAAGTAGAAAAGTATTATCATCAAAATATAGTGAAAGTATCGACAGTAAAAGTAGTCATTGTGCAGATTGGTCCATTTCAGAATAATATATATGATATGTTTTATAATGATTGATCATGAAAGTGTTCTCAAAGCTGGTAAAGGTGCAGCTAGTTTGAATGACTTTGTATTCTGCAGGGTAGCTTGTGAATTTACTCCAGGTGGAACTAAAGTCTGATTTAACACTTGGTTATATTTCACATCATTCATCCACATCTGTGAAGTAACTAAAGGTATTAAATACATGTAGTGGAGTACAAGTACACCATACACCTCTGAACTGTAGTGGATTAGAAGTACAAAGTAGAATAAAATGGAAATACTCAGGTAAAGTATCTCAAAGTTGTACTTAAGTACAGTGCTTGAGTAAATGTACTTAGTTCCTCTCCTGATCTGTAAAGCTCTCCCAACATATGCAGGTTAGCATCCGGCAGCTTCTATGTGCTGGGGACCCGTACTGTACATTTCTCTCATCACACTTTGGGCTCCTCAACATGTGTGGGTTCCCAGCAGGACTCTCTGAGCTGCAGACACATTCTTTCTGTGACTTTGTTCCAGATATTTGGAGCATAATAACTGAAGCTGTTTCTCCATGTTCAGGAACTCCCATCCCCCGAGTCCTGCGGCAGGAAGCGCTCCTTCTCTCCAAGAACTCCTGGACCCTGCAAGCTGGTCCAGAACCAGAGTCCCAGTGAGGAGTCCAGCCAGTCCACCTCTCAGAGTTAAACTAAACTACAACATTATTAAAGATCATGTTAAAAAAGGATGCTTTCAGACTGAATCCAGAAGTTTCTCAAGCTGCAGTCAAAGCAGGTCATTTGAGGAATATATAAAACAATTATAAAACTGTAATAAGAATTACTCTGAATACTTTCTTTGGACATTTTATTCAAACACAATTTTAAACAAATATTTTAAATGTTTCTGACTTTCTGAGTGCTTTTCTCATGAATTAACGACTTAAATCTGGCTTTTCTTTCTTGTGTATTTCATAATCCTATAGGATATTAGATATTTTTTTCACGTAACTTTAAGACCAAATATTATTTTCTCAGCTCTGTAATAAAAAAACACATTTTAAAATAAATATCCCACTTCTTGTACTTATATCCTGATTGATGAGTCAACATTAAAGCAGCCAGGCGTTAACGTTCAGCTGGCATGTGTATCTGTTCATTGGCTCATATGTGTAGCATGTTTAACGGCAGTGTTTTGAAAATGGCTGACAGGTGAATATGTCAGATCTCTGTGTATTACTCAGAGAACCGTGTGCAGTGTTTTAGAAAGTGCAGAGTTGAATTGCAGATTGTGTGCAGAGCTGAAAATGTGTTTAGAGTTCTGTTTGATTTGATCCAGCCAGTTCTGCCACAGCAAAGCATAAGGGCTCAGAGCTTGGACCTATTGTGTTCACATTATATACGCTTCCTTTAGGCAATAAGGAATCACTCGGGACATTTTCATTGTTATGCGGATGATACTCAATTATACACAATATAGACAAAAGTATTGGACCACCTACACATTAGAGAGATACCGCAGGTCCTTCCTTCCTGCAGCGGTCAGACTATATAACCACCACGACCCCTAGTAGACCCCCAACACAACAACACAGACTATAACACCCCTTGTTGTTAAATACCAACTATGTGCAAGATGTGCAATATATATATATATATATATATATATATATATATATATATATGCCGTTAATACTCTGCAATATATACCATAATCTTGAATACTTTGTTGTCTGCATGCTTTAGGAAACATTAAGCTGTCTTTGTCTCTTTTCTGCTGTAACAATGTACATGTATCCTCTGTGGGACTAATAAAGGGATTCTGATTCTGATTCTGATTCTGATTCTGATTACACCTACAGGAGCTTTCAGGACATCCCATTCCAAACTCTTAGGCATTCATTTGAACTTGGTCCCCCTTTGCAGCTATAACAGCTTCCACTCTTCTGGGAAGGCTTTCTACAGATCTTGGAGTGTGTCTGTGGGAAGCCCTTTCATCCAGAAGAGCATTAGTGAGGTCACACACTGATGTTGGACGAGAGGCTGGCTCTCCGATCTTTTAAAAATATTTTAAACATAGTATATGCAGTATACAAAGCCATTAAAACTAGCTGCACCTTTACCAGCTTTGATAACACTTTAATGATCAATAATTATAAAACATCATATATATTATTCTGAAATGGACCAATCTGCACAATGAATACTTTTACTTGTGGTACTTTAACTATATTTTGATGCTAATACTTTTACTTTTACTTGTAACCGAGTATTCCTACACTCTGGTACTTCTACTTTTACTCAAGTTCAAGATCTGAGTACTTCTACTTTTACTCAAGTACAAGATCTGTGTACTTCTACTTTACTCAAGTACAAGATCTGAGTACTTCTACTTTACTCAAGTACAAGATCTGTGTACTTCTACTTTACTCAAGTACAAGATCTGAGTACTTCTACTTTTACTCAAGTACAAGATCTGAGTACTTCTACTTTTACTACAAGATCTGAATACTTCTTCTACCTCTGATAGTAGAAAATGAATGAATACTCATGCTTTGTGTTGAACCCACCATAACCACAAGATGGCGGTAGTGACCACCGACTGTAAAATAACACCACAAATTAATTCCTTATTCTACATGACCTTATTCTACAAGTACGGCCATTAGTTAAGAGTTTGTCCTCAATAACCCTCTAATGAGAGATTATTAAAAAAATAACCGTCCTCCCACTCGGAGTGAAAATGATCTATTTTGGGCTTTTTTGCTTCTGCCATAATTGCGGTCTTGTGTGTGTGCGGACTGTCACTCCTGTTGCCACGGACAACGTCAGTCAGCGAACAAGAGCCCACTGCCCACTAGCCACGCCCCGCACATGGGGTCACGCCAATCACAAAGCTTTGGTGCGTCCTAGGTTGCATTCGAATAGTCCATTTAGCTTAGGAACCTTCCTAACGGAGTGAAATGACCCGGAAGTCCCTCAGTGGCAGCCATGATAAGTGCCGTTCGAATTCTCTAAATTAAAAGGAAAGGAGGTTTCAAACTTCCTTTATAACCTCCTTTAGCCTAGGAACCACTGGACCTCCCTAACCGAAAGGAGAGGAGAAAATGCTGCCCCACAATGCCTTGCGGCCGCAGCATTTGCCGTCACACAACAGTCGGCCGTTCACGGAAACAACCGATTATGAACGAGAAATGATATCATGAAAGTTACGGTGCTTATTAAGCATTTTAAAACGTATGTGGTAAGTTGCCAAAGTGCTTTGTTTTGAACGTTCATCCGTATTATAATCAAAAAGAGAAATATGAACGTTAGTTTTTACTGAAATGATCAAATAAAGTCAACATTTCACAGTCTTTACTGAGCTGTGTGGGGTTTGTTCAACTTTTAAAAGATGTTTGAATGGTGATATACACAGTGATAGATGTTAAGGACTAACGTTTATAATAAATACATTTGTATTGATTTTAAGATCTTTTCATACAATCATATGTATTGGGATCATTTGTATTAATGTGGACCGGAGGGAGAGGGTGACGAGCATAAGTTTCACTTTCCTTTTTTATTTCAATTCCAACTTTGGTCATGAAGAATATGTTTCTCTGTTGTCCCCGTTCATAAAGCATAAAACAACAGCACCAGAGCACGGTGCAGAGTCTCTAGATGAGTTTACAGTAGTCCCTCGTTCTTATTAAACATCCATGTTGTAGTCCGCTGTATAGAAAACTGTAGTTTCCATAGTTTCCCCACAGCAGCAGGCGCACATTTATGACCTCTGCTGGCGCATCATAAACACGTCGGATAGTGAAAGTGCAGTCGGATTCTCTAAAGTGCCGCAGTCTCTTCTCCTAAATCCTTTTGAATTCTCCTATCCACTATCCCTTAACCCCATGACGTTTCACTCCGAGGTCAAGGAATAGACGATAGGGTTAGAACTTAGGAGCTGTTTTTTTGGAGTATTCGAACGCAACCCAAGTGTATTATTCTGGCACAGGAAGATTTAGTACAGCGGATAAGCTCTCATATTATAACAA